AGTCCAACTATCTCTGAAGGGTTCATCGTCGTGTTGATGATGTGCTGTCATTACGGCCCATTCATCTATTGCAGCTAAGTGGAGGAAATGGAGGAAAGTTCCTGCTTCTCATGCCTGAAACTGTGATGGAAATATCCCCCAAGAAAACCACCCAGGTTTACAGGTGTGGAAATTTCTGAACTCTGAAGTTACAGGCATAAGACACAGGTACTTCCACATTTCCTTGACCTAACTGCAACAGAGTAATGGGCCGCTCATGTATCAACAAAATCTTCAATTGAAACCATAAATATGTTTACTCAATACGGGTTTCAATTATTCTTTCAGAATAATTTGGCATCTCATCTCTGCCAAATCCATAAACTCGAAAAGTTTATGGCCTGTTAGGTTGAACTTTGATTTGACAATCTTAAGGCATTCTTTATTTGATGTACACTAGTCTTGTTTTTTTCTACATAGAACCAAATAAGCATATCCACATATTGTTTGGGCATAATTGTGGATTGTAATGTACACTTGTTATTCGTTAATGTAAGTGATTTATTTATCTATTTTATGATACTTGTTTCTTTGGTTCTTCAACTGCCTTCCTTTTTCGGTTATCGGAATCTGTAAGCCTATGTTGAATCTTATAACTTGGAGTAGAGCAACACCCAAAAGCATGAGTCTTGCTTTGCTTGGCACACCTAACAAATTAAGATGAACTTTTATAACAAGTTACAATGAGCTCTTGGTAATTGCGTTTCCATTTTCTAAGAAAGTCTACATGCAAATTGCAAATACATTATTTGCCAGCTGTGCAATTTGGGAGGGAAATAAAGGTCAAACGAATTTCTTTAACCTGTTGACTTATTAGTTCTAGGTTGCCTGTTTTTCCCCTAATTAAAACGGATTAGCAATAAACGTAGATTTTTCAGAGATAATCAAAAGGTAGACTTATTTTTAGCGGATAGGTGGTATTATTTATGACAATTTTTCCCTTATATTATCTGTTTGTCTTTTTTGTTTTTCATTTCAGGTTAGTTTTTTCGGACTTCTCCGTGTTTCAACAAGTTTTTTGGTTTTGTTCTGGATGTCCGTTGTTGGTATTTTCCCAGTTTCATTATTGTTAGACATATGAGATATCGGAAAATATATATGTGATATATTTTCAGTAGATATCATTAAGAGAATGATATATTTAGGTTTATTTTATGTTAAGATATTATTTAGATAATATATCTTTAGGTTTATGGTTATGTTAGTATATCTTTAGAAATATTGTTTCCCAAAGGCGAAGAGACGGGGGGGGGGGGGGGGGGGGGCGGGGGCTGGTGGAGGCCTGGCCTCCCCGGCCCAGATTTGTGGCCCTTGATTATTAACTCTTGGCCCCCTGAAAGTTATTAGTTATAATAATGAAGACACATATAATACAACAAATGAAACTTGTCATATTGGTTAGGTAGTGATTTTGGACTTGAAAATCCTGGTCCCTGTTGTTTTCTATCTTTTGAGCATAGGTTTTGTATAAATACTCTACATATCGATGAATAATAAACAAGCCATTCTATTCTATTTCTCCCCTATTTTGTCACGGTATCAAGAGCAGGTTAGATCTTGGGAGTATTTACGAAAAATTTCCCCCTACCGGTGGGTTAGAATCTTAAATCCACCGGTGGGATAAACCTTTAGCCAAAATTACAATTTTTTTTTTCTTTACATACCTAAGGATCTTGCATTGTTTATTGTATGTTGATCACTTGATGATCATGCATGAAGATTTTTTTTTTTTTTTGTGAGTTTTCTGTAGTTGACGAGGTGATGATGAATCATGGTCTGAGCTTTGACTTTGATTTGATTAAAAAAAAATTCGGCTCTCTTGTGTCGTGAGACATGATATATTTGGTTCTCCTTTTGCCGTGAGACAAGGTTTGTGAGTTTGATTCGAGCATGATTTTGCTCCTTTGGATATGAGTGTGGTTTAATCTGAAAGACCAATAAGAGATTTGAGTGTGGTTTTACTCTGAAAGACCAATAAGGGGGCGTTTGGTTTGCAGAGTGGTATAGGTTTGGAATCAGGAATAGGGTTAAGGTGGTATCGGGTTGGAACTTGATACTTAATACCATGTGTTTGGTTCAATTCTGAAATGAAATATCATCCCATTAATTTCATGTATTTAATACCTAAAGGAATGGAATGAGCTAAACTCACCCTCCCCCCAAGGTTTCTAAACCCCATACCTCATAGGTTTGAGGTATGGGTTTAAAAATCATATTTTTGACAATCAAATATATGGTATGGGTTTTGATCATTCTAAACTCATACCTAATACCTATAATCCGCGAACCAAACTCCCCCTAAAAGATTTGAGTGTGGTTTACTCTAGAAAAACTAATATTTGATTGGAGCTCGGTTTAATTTGCTCTGGAAAAACCAAAAATTGTTATATTTGCAGGTTCGAAAAGAATGACGTTCCTATTTGATGACAGATGAGTTCGAAAAAATGAACGTTCTCATCATTGAAGAAAAAAGAAGAATTTCCAATCGCAACGTTCGTTCGTGTTATTGCAGTTACGATTGCAGGAAGGTGTTAGACATATGAGATATCGGAAAATATATGTGTGATATATTTTCCGTAGATATATCAAGAGAATAATATATTGGAAAATTTGTAAATATTAAGTCAACCTTTACCCATCCGCTTTTATTACGTCAACCTTTTGATTATTTCTTAACACGTCAACCTTGTAATAACATTAATTTTAATTACATTAAAATAAAAACTGACTTGTAAAAACAGGTTAATTAGTATTAGATGAAGGTAACAAGGCTTTTTTTTTTTCCAATATTTGATCCTCTTTACTATTCCACTTTTTCTATCCATCTTCTTTGTTCTTCATCCCCTTACTTCATCTTTTCCGATCCACTCTTCCTCATCATTCTCAAAAAAAAAAAATCTTCAATTCTTGTATTTGATGACGCCAACTAGAAATCTAAAAAACAATATATAGTCAAATTAGTTTGAAGGTAGAGAATTACTTTGTATTACTTGTATCTGGTGTTAATTCCCTTGTATATATCAATTTGAATAGACAATCATATACTTCAAATCGCTCCAAAGTGAATGCCATGAAAACCCCTAAATTTAAGTGAGAATATTTCAAAGAGGATGATGGGAAAAGATGAATAGATGATGAGGTGGAATGGTTGTGGTGGGGTGGCAGAGGTGATTTTTAGGTGGCGATAGAGGGTTTGGTAGTGTGAGCGTGTGTGGATATGAGTGAGCAACGATGAGGGTGGGTCGTGGGTTTGATAGTAAGAGGAAGGAATAATAATGGAGTATGTTTGACGGAGTTGAAATTAAAGTAAGTGTGGATAATATGAGGGAGATCGTGACTTTGCACAAGAGTAGGAGTAAAGAGTTTATTTTTTGGCATAATTAAAAGCTAACTCTTTTTTTTTTAAACATGTCAACAAATTTTTTTAATTTCAAAATTTTGAAATTATTATGGGTTTATCAGGTTACCAGTAAAAAAGTGATAAAAGTTAATGATATTACAAGGTTGACGTGTTTAATAATAATCAAAAGGTTGACATAATAAAAGCGGATGAGTAAAAGGTTGACTTAATATTTACAAATTAGATTAGCCCCGTGCGATGCACGGTTTTAAAATAAAAGATGAATAATAAACTCTTTAGCACATGTTGAGAGAAAACAACTACTTTCTCTGTAGTACTTTGTAATTAAATATGAAAATTCAATATCCAAAAATCCATTTTTTCATATTTTTTTTAGAATAAATTAAACTATATTATTAACTATTTTTAACAACTACTTTTAAATAATAAAATAGCGTAATATTCCCTAAAAAAAAATAGCGTAATATGCGTAGAATAACTTAAAATTTAAAATTCAATTTGAATTTAATTTTCAAAACAATATAATGTTAAATAGGGTAGCTTACAAAGGGAAAAAAACAATATGACATCATCCTTGTATTTTGGCCGGAAAAAAATTAAATAAGAGAGTGACACGTAAGCAGTGATCTGATGACGTCAGCGGTTGTTACTTTAGTAATATTTATAGATTTTCCAAATATATTTAGGTTTATTTTATGTTAAGATATTATTTAGAGAATATATCTTTAAGTTTATGGTTATGTTAGTGCTTCGTATATCTATAGGAATATTATTTCTTATTTTATGAGCGTATGTTTTGTATAAATACTCTACCTATCGATGAATAATCAAGTGATTCTATTGTATTTCTCTATAATTTGTCAATTATTGACTTTTCCAAAAATCACAAAACCCAAAAATTTGTTTTGTCTCTCTTGTTATTCATCGTTTTCTCACCTTCTCTATTTGTCCTCAATAATTACGTAGTATTATTCTTTCATCACCTTCTCCATCCTCTCAACATCTTCGGGGTTAGAGTTTTTGAAAAATTGCGGTAGAAAAGAAAAAAACGCAGACATCAATTGTTATCGACGAAGCTCAACAGTTCCTTCCCTGGTTTAAATCTTCATTAAGATGAAAATTTCAATTTTGTATTTTTAGTATTTGAAATTGAAGCACAATCATGTCTTTTCTTTTGGTTATCCCCGAATTAGCATAATTAATTAGGGTTTGAATTTTGAAGATTATCAATTAAACCCTAATTTTATCCCACCCCTCTTTCAATTATCAATTAAACCCAAGATAATCGGCGGATCAAAGTCATCTTCAACATACCATTTATTGGTGTCTGTTGTCTGGGGTAACCCTGAATATGGCCTCAACCATTGTTATTAAAATCCCAATTTAAATCTTAAAATCTTACGATTTTACGATTCATGTATATCATATGTTCGATTTACGATTCTACCCAATTTTAATAAATTATATAGGTTTTTATAAATATATATTGTCAAGTATTGATTGCTTAATGGGTAAATAACTATTATCTATCAATAATTAGGTTTCAAACTCATAATTTCAATATATTTAAATAAATTTATGTTTGATGTTTTGATTATACATGGCGGTAGAATCTTGCAATTCTACGATTTGATTTTACAATTCGATTCGATAGCTCCTTCTAATTCAAAGTAGAATCTCGATTTTAATAACTTTGGCCCCAACCTTGTTATTCCATGATGGTTCTGGGATGTCTTCTTGGGCTTATCACTTGCTAGTGTCTTGAGATTGGATGATGTACTTTGTGTTTTGCATCATCATTAAGTTTTAGTAGAACTTTACACATGGAAGTTTGACTTTTCTGCCGTAGGTGGAGTAGCAGTCAAACTAAAAGTTAGTCTGGTTTAGTGATCTTGTTGTCCGAGTTACTTGTAACTCAGCCGGTAAAACTGTGATGTAGATAATTTTGCTCATCTAAAAACTTTATTGGATGTGATCTAATGACTCAGTCTTATGAAATTACTCATCCCCGGGAACATTTCATCGTATTCATATTGACAAACACTTGTTACTATCATCGCTTTCATCATCTATGATTTTAACAACATTAATATGACATTGTGTTGTGGTCATATATATAATTGTTCTCCATGTCATTTTTTTACCCTACAAATTTAGTACTTAGGAAATTAAATTCGATTGCCTTGCAGGAAAAATTTATACTTATTATAGCAGCTATTTTGTAAACAGGAAGTGTGTTTAGGCATGTGTTCGAACACCTTTGGCTTTAATTAAACACAAACTATCGGGTGTACAATAATTATTGTACATCCATTATAAAGATAACCTAAAGTGATTAAAAGTTACCCCTGAAATGAATAAAAGTTACCCCAATATGAGTTAAGTAACCCAATTCAAATAAAAATTATCTACGCTTTATTAGTAAAGAATCAAATTTTAAATGACTAAAAATCATTTACTAGTGATTGAATGTAATTAAATCACCTTTATAAAACTTTTCTTGTTGTTGATTTATATAAAAATTGTATTATGTTTAAAGTTACCCAAAAAAAGACAAAAAGTTACCTAAAATTAGCTAAAAGTTACCCTTATACTGCTGCATGTACACTAATATTAGTATAAATCGGATGTATACAAAAGTTTTTGTTAATTAAATGTATATTTATGGAGAATTAGTCCATTTTGTAACATTACACGAAACATATGAAATGTCTCATATTAATTTGAAGCATGAAAAAAAAAAAAAAAAATTCACATCTGATCTTATTTGCCTTGTGTGTATAAAGGTTCGAGAGTTTCCACTTGCTGCCATTTACGGAGGTGCAGTAAAAGCCCCAAAAGTTCATTCTGACATAGTAGAATATATCATAGCAGCTGTTTATGTTGACTGTGATTTTGATCTGAAGTATGTTTGGAAGGTTAGTACACAGATTTTTGCGCTCCATTGAGCTTGTGTTAATAATTGAAAGAATGCTTCTGTGTTTTAATTCCAAATTGTGATGTTAATTGCAGATTATCAGGGGTCTTCTGGAGCCTATCGTGACCCTTGAGACCTTGCCGCTGCAGCCTGTGACAATGCTCTATGAGTTATGCCAGAAGCAAGGAAAACAAGTTGATATGAAACATTGGAGGAAGGTTGATACAAATATTTGTAGCATTTATGTGGATGGAAAGCTTATTGCTACCGGGACTTCTGATCAGAAGGATATTGCTAAGCTTAATGCGGCAAAAGAGGCACTGGAGAAAATCAATAAATCTGTTATCAATAATGTGGGTATTGTTTATGAAGTCAATGACAAAAGTGAGATTGAATCTGCTAAGCAGAAGTTACATGAGCTGTGTGGCAAAAAGAAATGGCCAAAGGCAACATACAGGTAATTCTTTTTATCTTTGTGAGATGTTCGATAAATGAAATATCTAATCGTTTTGGAACTGCATGCTTTTAAATTGATGATGAGATTCAGGTGTACAATGACTACTGTAAGGCTTCTTTGCATTAATCATGATTTACTGCCTTTTGAAATTCTTTCAAAACTAAAACTTATCAAGTCTTTATTATTCAGAGGTCTAGCATAAGATGTGAATTACTACATTCATATTTTGGCATTTGGAAACCAGAAACTGTAATTGTGTAATGACAAATAATTGTTAGTAATAATTACAAATCAACTGGTTTATTTTTTTTCTTTCTGTTGTTTAATATGAACTTGCAGGATTGTGAAAGAAGTGGGGATAGCTCATGAGAAGAAATTTATATGCTCCGTTGAGATCGAAACAGCAGATGTGAAGCTGTTTATGTCAGGAGATGAGAAGTCAAGAGTCAAGGAGGCTGAGAATTCTGCTGCCTCCATGATGATCCATAGCCTTGTGGAGTCCGATTATCTCTGAAGGGTTTCATCATCGTGTTGATGATATGCAGCCATTGCGGCCCATTCATCTGTTGCAGCTAAGTGGAGGAGATGGAGGAAAGTTCCTGCTTCTGATGCCTGAAACAGTAACGGAAATATCCCCCGAGAAAATCACCCAGGTTTACAGGTGTGGAAAATTTCTGAACTCTAAAGTTACAGGCATAAGATACAGGTACTTCCACATTTCCTTGACCTAACTGCAACAGAGTAATGGGCCTCTCATGTATCAATACAATCTTTACTTGAAACCGTAGATAAGTATACTTTATACGAGTTTCAATTATTTTTTCAAAATATTTTGGCGTCTCTTCTCTGCCAAATTCATAAATTCAAAAAGTTTATGGCCTGTTAGGTCGAACTTTGATTTGACAATCTTAAGGCATTCTTTATTTGATGTACACTAGTCATGTTATTTTCTACATAGAACCAAATAAGCATATCCATATATTGTTTGGGCATAATTGTGGATTGTAATGTACACTCGTTATTCGTTAATGTAAGTGATTTATTTCAAAAAGTTGTTTCTTTGGTTCTTCAACTGCCTCCCTTTTTCGGTAACTGGAATCTGTAAGCGTATGTTGAATCTTATATAACTTGGAGTAGAGCAACACCCAAAAGCATGAATCTTGCTTTGCTTGGCACACACCTAAACAAATTTAGATGAACTATTTAACAAGTTACAAAATACAAATGCACATGTGCCACGCTAGCGGGAAGCTTTGTTTTGCAAATGGTTTTTTGAAAATTGCGTTTCTAAGAAAGTCTACATTAGGTTAATTTTCAAGACATTATATGAACTTGCATCAACATTTCAACAAAGTTTTCTTTTCTTTTTTTTTTTTGACAAAAATAGACCAATCTTTTTGAAAAGCGTATATTTGTTTTAAATTTACTATAATGAACAAGCAACTGGAAATGTACAATACCAATGTAAGTTTTGATCAAAATATTAAGATGATACATTGCAAGGTAGAGGTGTCAAATACTGACTCAATTGATCCAATTTGAAACTGACCCAAAAAAAACACGATTCAGATTTAGACTTTTTTTTTCACAATGGTAAGAAAAAAGTAAATATTAGGAAACGGGAAACCCCTCACAAGGGGAATTCCTAATGCTTCGTTTTATAATTCAAATTTGGACTTGACTGTAAACAATTACTCCGTATTTTGCAAGAATCAAATTTAAAATAGACCTGACCCAATCTAGCCTCACTATGGTCCAACCTTTAGCTATCAAACTAAACTTATCTTGTCCTCCACGCGCGGACACCGCGAGAGTATTTAGGTTTGTAATACAACAACCGATTCCAATGTCAATCCCCACCCCAATGTCCATCTCCGGTGAGGAGGACCCACCAAAAGACATGGAACGCTGCGTTTCATCCGTGGAAGGAATACTAAACTACAAGTTCAGGAACAAGAAGCTTCTAGAAGAAGCGCTGACTCACTCGTCGAGTACTACTACTAAGTCAGTGTCATACCAAAGACTGGAGTTCTTAGGCGACGCCGTTTTAGGGCTTGCAGTCGCAAATTCAGTGTTTTTGGATTATCCAAATGTTGACGAAGGAATTCTTCATCTCCTCTGTTGTGCAAATACTAATACTCAGAAACTTGCTCGTGTTGCTGTTCGTATTGGCCTTTATCGTTACGTTCGTCGTAATTAGGGATGTCACTGGGGCGGGTCTAGTAGGAGACCCGCCCCATCCCCGCCCCGATGGGGCGGGGATGGGTCTAGCTTTGGCGGGTCGCGGGGCGGGGATGGGTCTAAAATCCATACCCGCCATGGGTGATGGGGCGGGGATGGTTGTTATGTAATACCCGCCCCGCCCAGACCCGCCCCATACCCGCCCCGCCCCGCCCCGCCTGACCCACCCCGTACCCGCCCCGCCCCGCCTGACCCACTCCATACCCGACCCATACCCGCTTTATACCCACCCCATACCCGCATAAGACCCGACTAGCCATAGCATAATACGATTAAAAAAAAAAAAAAAACTACACCTAATGAAATCTAACCCAGTAACCCACTTACCCAATACCCACCCTCATTCAGTCATTCACAAAACAAAAACCCTAGCCTCTCACTGCCTCACTCTCTCCTCTCAGAGACTCACAGTCTCACTGCGCTGAATCTCTTCCTCAAGCCTCAAACCCCTCTCTTCGATCCTTCTTCTTCAACCTCGTGGTCCTCGTCTGCAATCAAATCTCTTCGATCCTTCTTCTTCAACCTCGATCTTGCAAGGCTGCAACTCATTCAATTTAGGTAAACGTTTTCGCATTATTATCTTTGAATTTTCTTAATTCAATATGTTCAATTAAGAATTTCTTAATTGGGTTTTCGATTGAAAGTATGTGATTCGTCTTTTATTTATGATTTGTTCGATTGCGGTTTTCAATATTTCATTTGATTGAGCTAGGGTTTCGTGTTATATTTGTATGATACTTTCAATCTAATGCAATGTAGTTGATTACTGTTATTTTTTGTATGATAATGTATGAATATGATGACCTCTAAATTTTTTAGTTTATTAGGGTTTTAATCTAGAATTTTCATTACTTGTTTTTTTATATTTAATTTCACAAAATAGATATAATAAAGTCGAAATATGTATAGATTGTAATTAGTTTTTCTCATTAATTTCAGACTTATAAGTTTATGTTTATTATTTTAGCTTATGTGTGATAACTAAATTCGGATTATGTCATTGGGGGAAGTTGGAGCAATTTCTATTGAGAATTGTTAAATAACCCAGGTAAGAATTTTCTTCAAATTTTGTTGTATTCTTTGTTATTGAGATTGTATAAAAGCGTGAGAAATGAATTTCAAACTATTATCATAGTATCATACTATTGTTGTTATACTGTAATTTAAGTAGTACTCAATATTGATGAAATTGATCACAATGTATGCAAATTGAGTTGGGGTAATGAAAATGTGGATGGATAATCAGGTGCTGATTTTGGTGGTTAAGAAAGTGGGTGTGTATAGATAGAGTGGAAGAACAGGTTGGATCTTTAATGTCGTAAGCTGACAGCTTTTAAGAATGAAGACTTTGAGACACCAAATTGTACAACTACTGTACTATATTTTGATGTCCTTGTGTTTGTGTTTGTTGTCTCCCTCTTTCTTACAAAATGAGAGTACTAAATTTGGTGATGTTGTTGCTGGCAGCCAGTATGTAGTGGTTAGTGACTTAGTGTGATAGGTGGTTAACTGGTTATGCAGCAGCAACAATATATTAACATAGCAGTTACAGTATGACATTATGCATTGATAGGCCTTTCAACATGATATCTTCCGATAGCTGTGCTAGAAGCATGATCTGCCTTTGCTGCTGTGCATTGCTAATTTGCTATTATTAATTTATTATTGCTGTTTCTGAGATGTCAAATGTGTTCAATACTGTAGTCAATATGTCTAGTGCATTAATTGTCTTTATTTAATTTTTACAGGGGAGAATGACATCTAAAAATGAGAATAACGCTAGTGTTCCCACTTCCGCTAGTAATACTCCAATTGCAATAGATGATGATGAAAGTCCTCTAGAGACTAATTCCGATCCTTCTCTCCTACCAATTACTAGTAGGCATACTTCGGCAGTGTGGTCTGATTTTAAGAGAAAGAGAGTTGGGGATGTGATAAAAGCTGAGTGCAACCATTGCTCCAAGCTACTTGCTGGTGGGTCAAAAGCAGGAACTACTCATTTGAAAGATCATATAAAAATATGTCCAAAGAGAGTATGTCAAGATCTTCGACAAACAAGAATGTTTGGTACAAAAAAAAACTTGAATGATAAGAATGACACGATGACATTGGCTCCTTACGAATTCCACCAAGAAGATGGAAGAAGAGACTTGGCAGAGATGATTATTTTGCATGAGTATCCAATTAGCATGGTTGAGCATATTGGTTTTAGAAAATATAGCAAGACACTCCAACCTGGATTTAAAGTGCCGTCTCGCAACACAACTAGAAAAGATATTATGAAAAGATATGAGCTTGAGAAGGAGAATGTTGCAACCTTGTTGAGGAAAGCAAAGGGTAAGATTGCCTTAACTACTGACATGTGGACAGCTGACAACCAGAGAAAAGGTTATATGGCGGTCACCTCACATTTTATTGATAATACATGGAAGTTGCAAAGTCGGATCATAAGGTATTGTTTTCTGGTTACTTATAACTTGTTTATTTTTTTTGGTTGTCTTTGTATTGCTATAGTTTTTTGTGTGAATTTTAAAATCATAAGAATTATAAGTTGTGATGATGGATGATAATAATGAGCCCATATATCCACAATAGTATTGAATAGACAAATAATATATGTTATTTTCATTGGTTTTGGTAGGTTTTTATATGTCCCCGCCCCTCATACTGCTGAGGTTCTTGCTGATGCTTTGAAAGAAAGCATTCAATCATGGAATCTTGATCTTAGGTTGTCTTCTATAACCGTGGATAATTGTTCAACTAATGATGCAATGATGGAAATTTTGAAAGGAGTGTTTCCATATGGCTCACTTTTATTGCGAGGTGATTTTTTTCATATGCGTTGTTGTGCTCACATATTAAATTTGATTGTTCAAGATGGTTTAAGTGCTGTGGTATCAAATGGTGTTCAAAGAATTAGGGATAGTGTTGTGTTTTGGACTGCTTCTGATAAGAGAGTACAAAGGTTTGAACAAGTGGCTAAGCAAATAACTCCTGAGTGTAGTAGAAAGTTAGCACTTGATTGCAAAACCCGGTGGAATTCTACTTATGAAATGCTTTCTATTGCTACTAGTTATAAAGAAGTGTTTGTTGTTTTAAGTGCTCGTAATAATTTATATAAGAATCCACCGACCCCTGAAGATTGGGAAAAAGTTGAGAAAATATGTGAACATTTGGAAGTGTTTAGTAAAACTACCCTTAATTTTTCAGGAACAAATTACCCTACGGCCAATCTTTATTTTCCTAAAATTTGTGCTTTGAGAATTGCTATTTCTGGTTGGCTTTTATCTCCTCATGATTATGTAAGGAAAATGGCCGACATTATGTTACAAAAATATAACAAGTATTGGGCTAGTGTGAATGGCTTAATGGGAGTGGCAACAATACTAGATCCTAGATACAAAATGGCTCTTATTCGCTTTTATTTTGCAAAAATTTTTGATGAGCATGACTTTGAAATTGAGGTTAGTAGAATTAGTGATCTTCTACGAAGATTGGTTGATGAATATGGGTCTAAGATGGGTAAAACTCAAGGTAGTAGCAACCAACAAGCTTTTGATTTGGGTAGTAGTAGCAAATCCAATGAAGAGACCTTTATGCAAGAATTTGATGAATTTTTACAACAAGATAAGGACTCAAGTCATGATATATCAGATTTGGATAAGTATTTAGGTGCTGCTAATGTGCCTCTAGTCCAAGATTTTGATATTCTTAACTGGTGGAAGACAAATGGAGGCACATATCCCATTCTTCAGCAAATAGCACGAGATATATTGAGCATTCCTGTTTCTACTGTTGCATCAGAGTCCGCATTTAGCACAAGTGGTCGGGTTCTTAATCCTTATCGTAGTCGGCTTTTACCGGAAGCTGTAGAAGCTTTGATGTGTACTCAAAATTGGATATGGGCTGCTTCTAAAAGTAAATAGCTAAAATAAAATTTTATTTAATTAATAATATTATTTATTTATTTATTTATTTTAATTAATTCACATTGTATTTGCAGATTGTGGAGAATTTAAGGATGATGAATATGCTAAATTAGTGGGAGAATTAGAGGAAGGATTTGAAACATGTGATATCGATTCTGGAACAAGTGGACTTTGCACCGAATAATTCAAGGCCTAATGAATTTCTTGTTATGTATTTGAATATTTGTAGACTTGTAGTTATTTTTAATATTTGGACTTTGGACAATTTGGAGTTAGTGTTTTTTTTTTTCTCTTATGTACTACTAATTTTAAGTTTTTTAATATGTAGTAATGTAGTATGTATGCCTAAGGTGTTGCACTTTATGAAAATGGTTGATCTTGCAGTGGTTTTTGTTGGATTTGAGTTAATGGGATTTGTATGCACTGCTACTTTTTCATTAGTCTACTATGAAGTCTGCAGGGTTTCAGTTGACACTTGAAACTTGAAAGACAGTTGCTTTTCTCAATACTAAGTTGGCGGGTATGGGGCGGGGAATTGGCGGGGATGGGGCGGGGGTTTGGCGGGTATGGGGTGGGGGTTTGGCGGGTATGGGGCGGGGACGGGGATGGGGCGGGGGTGGTTTTAGAGTTGGACCCGCCGGGGCGGGGACGGGGATTATTTTCAGACCCGACATGGGGATGGGGATGGGGATGGGGATGAAAATGTGAGGCGGGGATGGGGATGGGAATGCCAAAATCCGCCCCGCCCCGCCCCGTTGACACCCCTAGTCGTAATTCTCTTCTTCTTGATGCCAAGGTACTCATTTATTAAGAATTTGTATTGAATACGGAGTAATTGATTGTTTTTTGTAAATGACTTAATGGTCATTTTGTTGGAATTTTTCCCCGTGGTGTAGAGAGATGCGAAAAGACGAATAATATAGGCGAGATTTGATATCAAAACTTTTGGTACCACTTAAGGCTAAAACCAACTAAACTATTTCTTGTTTCATTATAGTTGCATCAATGTGATGTTTGTCAATATATTTCATACACTAATACAAAGTACTTCAATATCTTTACATACAAGTACATTTCATTTAATTAAATCATAAAAAATACAATAGTAATACTACATTTATATCAAAATATGTGTAAACGTCGAGAGGATGCAACTATTATGAAACAGTGTTTTTCGCACTTATACACATTTTTTACTTTTTATCTCCTCTGGTTTATATTGTAATTGGAATTAATGTGTGTTGGTGCTAATGCACACTATTAACTATAAAAGAGGTGATTGTTACCTGAATACCTGTTTATCACGTATGCAGATGACACGAGTGCCTCTAAGTACTAAACTCTTGCATTACTCACATTCTTGTGACTGCCCCATGTTACTACTTAATAAAACCTACTAGTACCAGATAAATAGATAGTGTTGAACTTGAACATACGTAAGTACATGACCAAGGGCCTATTTGTTCTCATTGACTGAACTGAACTGAATATTTTATAAGAGAAGAAAATTAGGAGCTGACCTGAATTAAACTGAATTTCAACGTATGAGAATAGGTCCTAACTATGACTATACTCTGGATTGGAGACAACCAAAATAGTGTTCAATGCGCCAATCTTTCTAAAAAATTGGCAACGATGCATAGGAAATTATATTCTGTAAACGCCGAAATGGTTCTTTTTCATATGGCAATAAGAAAAATAAACACTTAGGAAATAAAACATACTTCGTAAGTTGGTATGAAATGTTCTCATATAATTTACAGCATATGAATACGTCTGATTCTATTATTTCTGCATTGCTTGTCTAAAGGTTCGAGAATTTGCACTTGTTGTGGAAGCAGAAGATGAAACTGCACTTAATAAAGGTGCAGTAAAAGCCCCAAAGGTTCTTGCTGACATAGTGGAATCTGTAATAGCAGCTGTTTATCTTGACTGTGATTTTGATCTGAAATTTCTCTGGCAGGTTAGTACACCGGCTTTTTTAATTTTCTCATTAGACTTGCATCAATTAATGACAGCAATGCTGTCACATTTGAAAATGGCGGTATATTGTAGGTTGTTAGGGGTCTTCTAGAGCCAATTGTTAGACTCGAGACATTATCAGTGCAGCCAGTGGCAATGCTCTATGAGTTATGCCAGAATGAAGGAAAAAAAGTTGATATTAGGCACTGGAGGAAGGGTGAAAAAGATATTTGTAGCGATGCTAAGCTCGTTGCTACTAGAACTTCTGACCAGGAAAATATTGCTAAGCTTAAGGCAGCTAAACTGGCACTAGAGAAGCTCAACAAATCTGTTAATGATATGGATGTTGATTATGAAGTTAACGAGACATATGAGATTGAATCTGCTAAGCAGAAGTTAAATGATCTTTGTGGCAAAAAGAAATGGTCTAAGGCAACATACAGGTACTCTTTTTTTATTTGTAAATAGCAATGAGACTAATGAAATGTCAAATGTATGTATAACTTTGTTGGAGCTGCATGAGCTTGTTTGTATTTTTAGTCGTAATTTACAGGTTTTTTGAAATTACATTAAGCAAATCTAATAATTTCATACACATCAACTTGCAGGATTGAAAAAGAAGTAGGGGTGGGTCACGAGAAGAAATATATATGTTCTGTTCTGATCGTAACATCAGATGATGAGAAACTTTCCGTGCTGGGTGATGAGAAGTCAAGAATCAAGGAAGCTGATAAATCTGCTGCCTCCATGATGATATATAGTCTTATGGAGTCGACCAATATCTGATGAGAGGGATCTCATTGTCGCGTTGTTTAGTTGCTCTAATGCCTGTATGTGTATTATGGCTGTTCATTTGCTGCATTTAAGTGGAGGAAATGAAGAAAGTTCCTGGTTTCATGTATTAAAACCCCTTCTGGAGTGCAGGCATGAAACACAGGTACTGCCACGTTTCCTTCTCCTAACTGTAGCAGAGTAAAGAGCCTCGATCTCTTACAAACCCTTGTTTGAATCATAGGATTGGAACCATGTATTTGGGATCTCTAAGCCTCTTATAAATATGAATCTTATTAAGACTTGTTTCTGACAAAATAAGTCATTCCTTAAATTATGTCATCTTGGCTTCGTTCAATAGTGATTTTTGTGCCTGTTTTCCCCTGACTTCTTTCTACTTAGCTATCCCTACAAGAGTAAAAGTCCCACAACACTATGGCACTTGAATTTTGCTTTTACACTATAGGATCGGGTTTGATGTTTGGATACAAAATTGGTTTCATCACAAGATATGGTGTAGCGATAGTGAGTAGAGCAGGTTTATTATGTTGATTATTACAAGGCATCAACCGTGTTCTTGGTGATGAAGTTGGACATGGGGGTAGGCCGGTAGGGCACAAGGGAAGAATTGTTATATGGATGATAGCCACTTAGGCAGAGTAAATTGGTAGCATGTTTTTACATCGAATATTAATAACATACAAAGATTGTTTATATTGAGTATTATCAATGTCATGACTATCAAATCGTGTTTAAATTAAGCTGGGTTATTCGTGTCATAAATTCAAATTTATTAATTGTTTATCAGAGATCAATATATCCATGCATGTTAAGTGTTTTTTTTCCAAGCCATATTGGTTTTTCTTCAACTATGGTTAGATCGAATTAGTTTTTGACAGCTCTACTCTTGGTTACTACAGAGTAAATAGTTTACGTGGTAAGAGGTTTTCTCTCGATTTCAGGAGATCTTGGAATCGATTTTCACCCCGCCCTTGTGGGTATCTAAACACCAAAAAACTTAGTATTTGGAAGTCAATATCTCTAATAAATTCCATCTTTCATAACACTAAATTAGCTTGCGTAGCCTCATTTTGACTGTCTTGCTAGCTAGCTAACTGCTAATAGACGACGAATTCATGTGAAAAATCCCATCATTTGTGCAAACTATTATTGTTGGGTCAAGTGTTACACGTGGTTCAAAGCGAACTTAATGGAGATAGGTTCTTTTTAGTTTTCACGTAAACATAGTATTTATACTTGTATTAAATTATGTGACATTCAAGGTTTTGCTTTCTTATTTGTGGGTTTCTTTTTTGGCTTTTTCTTCTACAATTTACAAGCTTGCCGTAAATCTGCAAGGCTGTATTACATTATACATACATACTACGTATAAATGCATATTACTCCGTATTTTTTTTTCCTAAGAAACTTTGGTGTTACAACATTGACTGTAATTCTGATCTGATTAATTTATTAATTAATCATAAGATTATGCTTAATTAAGCAACTATAATGTGAAATATGCTTATTTTTGGTGCTAATTGTGCATTATTACTTGGTTTACACTTTTGTATTGATAGCTCATATCTTGCATAGTGATGGAATTTTGTGCCTTTTGCATAAACACACTATCCAGGAGATCTAATTGTTGCATACAAGTCACGTTTGTTATTAACATTTTTTTTCTCTAAAAAGATACTCCATCCGTCCCTAAATTAAAAACCTCTTTTTCTTTATTATGTGAGTAATAAATGCTAGAAAAGACTTTGTATTAAGAGGCGGAGCAAGTATTCATTTTGTTCGTTATTATTAGAAAAAATAATTGAGGAACTAACAAAGTTGAAGCCAATAAAAACAAAACAATTGAAATTAAAAGTGTCATTATTTATACTTGGTATACAATTGCTTTACTTCATATTAGTATTATTTAATTCTAGAATAATCGCTTTTAATAAGGAGTCTAATCTATGTTTCCCTAATATTTCCACTATTATTATTTTATTATTATTGTAACATTAAGGTACGCTAAATTGGTATTTTAGGTGCTCATGTGATTAGAAGATAATAAAAAGTGAGACCAATCTATAGAGAATAGGTAAAGTTATATTGCCATGCAAATTGTTGCAGATTTTGAGAAGGTGGTCAAAGTAGAAATTGCTAGCCATAAGCTTTTGAATTTAACGTTGTGCAAGCAATTGGTTATACCTCTGCAATGAACTACATGCGCAGAAATTGTTAATAAGAACACCTTTTGTTATATTGACACAAAAAGTAACGAAAAATAACGAAGTATCATTTAAACGCACAATGCTATTCATATTACGTTTACTTTTATCAAAATAATCAAAAGACGACCTAGGTTAACTTTTAACCAAAAAATTAGAAAATAAAATCACCTAGTCAGTTACCTCGATACACAATTTATTTAAGTATCCTCATCAAATCAATATCATGCGATTCCTGAAGAAAAATGGACATTTCCATTCCCTATAACACAACACAACATTAGTATTTATAACAACAAAATATTGCCAAAGCAATAATAGGTCTTCTTACAACATAGAGAAAATTTAATAGTATATGTATGTATAGTACATTATTGGTTTTGATAGCACAGAAGATCATCATATCAAGACATAGATGTATATGTATGAATTGAATAATCAAACAAACTTTGAGTATGTATAATCATAAACTTTTTTTTTTTTTTTTGTATAAAAACAGAAAATAATCCACCACAAATTTGTGGCTCTTTATTACTTGATAAATAAATATGACAAACCTCAAATAAATAATGACTCAAAATGGGATATAAATCAATCAAGCATAGTCACACATCCCATACACACAATATTGTCCTTCCTTGCACTTGTAGTTGCATCTCCCACAATGCCTCTTGTCATAGGTTTTGTCTACACACTTTCCGTCGCAACAATCATGCGTGAACTTACACTTGTTATGGCAAGATCCACAATGCTTCTTATCAATGGTGAGATCGAAACACTTGTTTCCACAACAAGTAAAGTCCTTACCATACCTTATGTCACAAACCTCGTAATCCTTGTGGCAATGATCCGCGGGCTTTAAGATTCTTCCATGGAGTTGAAAATCATCAGTGTTACCTTCACCTAGGAACCGGCTCACCCTCTTAGAGGGGAGTAACAAGTGATCATCCTCGGCTTGTTCTTCAACATGGTCATCAACATATCCTGCATCGCGAGCAAAGGTTTGCTCGCGTTGTTGGTTGCTAAAATTGATGGAGCTTATTGCCATGACCATTGCCAAGGTGATTGCTACCAAGGCTATTGCCTTGATAGTCCTTCGAATCATCGTTGTCGACATTTTGAAACAAAATGTCAACAAAAGGGGTTATGATAAGGGTTGTAAGTTTTATGTTATTTGTGTTATGATAGCTTATGAACTTTTAAAGGGTTAGAGGGGAGGTAAGAATGGTTTGAAGAGAAGAAGGGGTTTATAGAGGGAATAAAGGAAAGAGTTGACGCGAAAATTGTGGTTAAAAAAAATGAGTTAACGTTGTAGGGTGATTTTGTGGGGAAGGATGCATGAAGTGTGGTATAATCTAATGAGGAGGTTTTTATTCTAAATTAAGGAGGTGACTATACTTTTCAAAGATATTCTTTGTAAGTTCAGGAGTTGATTAATTAAATAAATAAGAGGGGAGTCAAATTTATTTACTAGTATATAGTAAAATAATTGGGTCAAATATAGGGTGCTTCCAAGTGTAATGGATCCTAGTCGATCACTAGAACATAGATCTTAATTTCTCATTAACTCCATATAAGTTTTATAATTAGACATTAAATTGAATAACGCAAACAATAGGTTTGATTTCCACACCTTTTTCAACATGGTTTACTTGTGCCCCTATGCCCTATCTAATGGTTAATTTAGTTGGCAAATAGGTCAATTGAATGATAGCTAATTTTTTGTTGTATTTCCGTGATAAGTTGTTTGATTCGGATTTGGCTAATTTATTAGGTCAAATTGTGGTTCATCATTTGACCGATCATCATTTCGCTTTATTATAATTTAAATAAACGTGCATGGCTCACTAAGGGTCTGTTCACATTTACTTAATTTCAGTTCACTTTAGCTCTAATCAGGAAGTTCAACTCAATTCAATTCAGCTCCAATCAGTTTAGTTCAGCTCAGTTCAGTAAATGTGAACAGACCCTAAGATAGTGCATGGATCATAACCATCTAATTTTTGCTAATTTCTGGTACAATTTAGTATCGAATGGGTTTTGTCGTTCAATTGAGTTCTAATTTTCCACTTTGGTTGAATTGGATTGATTTTATCAAGTTTACCCTTATAACTCTTTTGTTTAGGGAGTAGTAGTATTGAGACTATATATCTTTTCTTTTCTTTTGTTAATTGACAACAAAAGGTTAGACAAGAGTGGAGTTCCTATTTTGTCACAATAAGCTAAAAGTTTTTTTAAATACTCAACCATATTGCAATTTTAGCAGCACCCATTCCAAATTAAAAACAATCAATATAATTCAAGTTGGAATAACCATATAAAACTTGCTTTGGTTCGAGCTAGTCTTTGATATTAGTTGAATAAGCTACTATATAGCCCACTTCTCCTAGGTAAAAGAAGTTGAATATAGTTTGCATGAAGAAAAATAAGCAAAATATATAGTATAGATTTTATTTATTTATTTATTTTTTAAAAAGTCCTAAAGGTTGCAAATAATAAGAAAATAAAAATGTACTCCGTACTCCTTATATATTATACATAAACAAACATTAATAATAAATTAATAATCATTAATGCATGATTACATAATTATATACAAAGTATTTATAAATTAATCTCATTTTAGAAAATGTTTTTAATGCATGAAATGCAATCCAATAAAAAGAAAATACAAAGTGGAGTATTAGATTTTGACCCTTAAGCATATTTAATACATCATGCTTTTACCACAAAAAAGAAAGGTGGGAAGGGTTGCTCATTCATGGAGTACCGACCACCAAAGAATATAATTGGTCAATCCATAAAATGAAGCAAAGGGCAAAAACATTTTTTTGTGAAGTGAGCAAATCATCAAAGAAATTGGTTATGAAATAAGCTAATCATTAATTAGCCTGTAAATTAAACTCAAAACTTTGGAATTACGCATTATAAAATTACTCGGTTCCTTAGTTTATGTTATGCGTATTATGTAACGCAAGTAAATGTTAAATTAATGATGCAAACAGCAATAGAATAGTGCCACGTACAATAGTGTAATTATATTGAAAAATTCGTACTCCATCGTTTTTTGCATCTTTACACCATTTTTTTAAAAAAAAAAATTCAAAAAAAAAAAAGAGAAGAAAAAAATGAGCTTGCCTCAGTAAATCTAAGTGAATGAAATACTTTTTGTTTATCACATGATATATATGTAAATTTATCAACAATTTCATCCAATCACCATCTATTGTGCACATTAATGAAAAAGTTGTTAATTTATTTACAAAAATGCCTTGTGATAAACCGTGTTTGTTTATTATTGAGAGAAACTTGTATTTTTGTTTCCACAAAGTAAACACAAATAGAGATAGTGTTCGGTAATTTTTATCAATATATGACATACAGAGTACTGCGTAATATTAACAACTAGTTAACTCCCGAGCTATGCTTAGGCTTAAAATGAATATGGACATATGGACCATTAGACATATAGTACATGGTTATATGTATTGGGATTTATATAATGTTTATTCTTAAGATTTTTTTTTTTAATGTTATATAATCAAAGATTTTTTTAAAAAAAAATTAAAAAGAAATTCAGATTTAAAAAAAAAAAAGAAAAAAAGAAAAAAAAATCGAAAATTAGCAGTTTGGTGGGAAAATTAATCATATAACTAGACTAGGCTCGTGTGATGCACGATTTTTAACATTATATTACGATTTTAACAATATTTTTTAGCTTATATGTGTGTAAAACAAACAATTTAAGAAAAATCTAATAGATTGATAAATTAATAAAGAGTTGAAACCCCGATCATATAATCTGTATAAAATATACAGAGTAGGAGAAAAAGATAATAATGTTTATAAGAAAATGAAATAGTTCGACCTTCCTTTAATTTCTCCAATGGAAATTACATAATTAGTCAATTTAAATATAAAATATGTTAGGAAAATGTCTAATTAATTTACCATTTAACATTGTTAATGTATGTTGAAAAAAAATAAATAATGATGTAATTATTAGTTTTGGCGGAAAAATTGTTTATAAGAAGTCGGCATGTGGAAAGTGATGACATCAGCGGTAATTACTTTAGTTAGATTTATAGATTGATGACCAATAATTACTAAACAAGTCCTATAAACAATAAACCTAAAGCCAAATTTCAAGATCAGAGTAACCGAACGGTGGTCAAGTTGAGTTCCCATTTTCTTGTTTGTAGAATTGTAGAGCCTTTGGGTGAGGGGCTATCTACCAATCTCATCAAATTTTTGTATTTATTTTTTAACAAAAAATTTATTCTTATAAATTTAGAGGGAAATTATTTAGGAATTCGTGAGTTGATGATTCGAGTTATGAGTAGACATATTTTAGCTACATTATATTTTAAATTTTTAGTGTTCTTATTTTTAAAGGGTTTTGTTTATGAATTCAAGATATTTCATCCTATATATCATACTCCGTTTATTAATTAATGAATCTTTTATATTCTTCATTAGAGTCTTCTCAACATCTTCACAACGTTGGGTATTACTACATACGAATTTGTATAAATTAAATTATTAGGTCATTATCTAGATAACTTAATATCATAAATGAATCACCCGTTACTTTCTTTGTCCTTTATATATGAAATGATTATTTTCACTTTTTTTAACTTGCCATTTTCTAAATTTTATCAACTTTATTCTTTCTGCACTAATGAGTTTATGGGGCAAAGTCAACGAGACGATCAAAATAAGAAAGTTGGACCAAACTTCAGAGGGACATGTACGTATGTGAATCACCTTAAGCAACAATTAAACTTTTAAAACATTGTGCTATTCTATGAAAATAGACAGTTGACGATATTCAATAACAAATTTTACCTCATTCTTAAATCTCAAATTTGGCTAATTGCCAAAAGAATTTCATATATATAGAAGTAACAAAGTTTCATCACAATTTATGTACTAGCTCAACGGATGATAAAAATATCCGTCTAACAAAATAATTAAATACGTATTATCGAATAATGAACTAATATGTATAATATGATTAACTAAGCATAATCACACATCCCATAAACACATAATTGTCCTGCCATACACTTGTTGTTACACCTCCCACAATGTCTTTTATCATAGGTTTTGTCTACGCACTTTCCGTCGCAACATTCATGAGTAAACTTGCACTTGTTATGACAAGCTCCACAATTTTTCTGATCAATGGTGAGATCAAAACACTTGTTGCCACAACATGTGAAGTTCTTACCATACATAACGTCGCAAACCTCATAGTCCTTGTGACAATGATCCGCGGGCTTTAAGCTTCTTCCATGACGGTTGTAGTCACTTTCAACTAGGAACCGGCTAACCCTCTTAGAAGGGAGAAACCCCGCGTTGTTGTTGTTGTTGTTGTTGTTGTTGTTGTTGTTGTTGTTGTTGTTGTTGCCTTGTTCTTCATCGACGTGGTGCTCTTGTTGCAAATTGTTGTTACTAAAGGAACTTAGAGCAATAAGGGTCATAGTCATTGTGATCGCTACCACAACAAATGCCTTGATTGTCGTCTTCATTGTTGTCGACGACATATTTCTAATTTGATTGATATGATGTTGTGAAGGATCACAAATGATTAGAGAGGGAGAGAGTATGGAGAACAAGCTAAGGAAAAGATGGTTAGTTTTAGTTTAATTAGTTGTGTTAAGGTGGTTGAAGGTATTTATAAGAAAATAAAGTGTAGAGTAGTTTGACTTAAATTAAATAATTTGGTAGGTTTATTTAAAAAATTAAGGAGTTGCGTTAATTTGGGGTGATGCATGCATGGAGTGTGTTTGAATCATTAGGGTACTTTTATTAACATGGGGTGAGATGACTATAGTTGAAAGTTTGTGTGTAACTTGAATTTTAAAGTAGTTACTGAGAAAGCAAGGCTAGGAAAATAATCAAACAAATTTAAATTATGAAATAATTTTTTAAATAGGAAAAACATGATTAAAATGGGGTTCCTAACATAGTAACATGAAAGGTGCTAAAAATTAGGGGGCAAAATCTCAAAGAGGGAAAGGGTGTATGTGCTTAGTACCAAGGGATTGCTAAAGATACAGGATTCATGAAAAAAAGATTTCTAATGATCTCTTGTATACCTAAATTGCTAGTTGACAAATGAGGATTCTATGATCTCAGCACGATCATATATACTCATATAGTCTTGTATAAGATTTAACGCAAGTGAAAAGGTAAAAGTTAAAAAATGGGTATGAATAAGTATGCATGGTACGGTATACAATATAATTGTGGGATAGTTACCAAAAGACATAACAAACCTAACAGGGTCTAAATCGAGTAAAATTTAGTTTTTATAATTAAGTAATCTATAAACCGTTAATTCTAATAATACATAATTAGTTGCAATAATTTGAAATAAATTGTAACCAATTTTGGTCAATAAAATCGGTTTTGTTTAGGGTAAAAATTACCCATGACAAATGGACCAATCCGGACCTGCCACGTGTCCACCACGTGGGCCAATCAGCGTCCGCCATTTGTCACCCTAAGAGGTCCAACATGGACTAATCAGGCCACGCCACGTGGCCTCCCATATGCCAAATAGGCAAAATGGCCACCAAGGCCCAAAGTCCGAGAGAAGCCCAATTTGCCCTGGTTAACCTAAACCTAAAATTGGCACGCTTCTCAAGACTATAAATACTTAATTAATCCTCATTAAAGGGGATTCAGCAATTAATGACTCTCACCTAGAGAAAACCAAAACACATTGATCACTCCTCCACTAGAGGAACCAGATCTCCTACCTTTACTTTCCGCATTTATCACTCCTCAAACAAGTACTAACTTGATCGTCGGAGGCGGAGCTCCTACCACAAGGAGTCTCCGTTTGTTTTGCAGGTACAGGCGTCCGGTTCCAGTCTCGGAATTGTAACTCTCCCGCAGGACATCAGAAAACCCCGAAACATTTTGGCGCCGTCTGTGGGGAGAGTACTTTCGAGATGGCATCACAGTCTGTACCGATTCTAAGTGACAAGCGTCCCATGGACGACCCCCTGGTTCAGTCGGACCAGGACACCGACAATGAAATCGATGTCGAGACTCACACGACCCCCGACGGGTCCCTTAGAGCTCGACGTACCCGTCCCACCGCCTGAGCATCAACAGGCGATCGAGGGGTCTGCTCCTGTTACCAGGAACGAACTCATGTCTTTCATGAGAGGTTTCAAGGGAGAAATCCAGGAGCTAATCAAAAAGAGAACGCCTGTTCCCGCAAAGGAACAGTCGGCCAGAACGTCCTCCCACCCCGGGAGAACTAGACTTGTTAAGGATCGTGTGGCGACCCCCTAGCCAAAGCCTGGGGTAAGGCAGTCGCCAGTGATCGACTAAACGAAGTATCACTTCCCTTCACAAGGGAAGAGAAAGCCCATCCGTTATGTTCAACCGGACGAGTCAAAGAGAACATTCTCTGATGCTCGAATGTTGCTGGAGCAGAAGAAGAATGACCGACTATCAGAGTCGGCCTCTACGTCTGATTTTCAAGACAGTCTCCACCATACCTCCATGAGGTATTCAAAATCTAACCATGAGAGTCAGACAGGCGGCACTCACCCTCACAAAAGTGTGCTAACACTCACAGGGTACAACCGACATAGTTCTTGCCCATGCTAAATTAATAGACCAGGCGGCAATATAAGCAGTCGGCCAGGTCTAACCAACCCCGATTAAAGTTACATGCGCCTAGCATGACACTCAATGGGTACAGCCGGTAGAAGACCAGCCTCCGGGCATCCGGCCAGGCGGCCAAGTACTGCATGCGTCATACGAACAAATGTTGGGAGTCGGATGGTCAAGCTTGTAGGCTGGTAAACATGGAATCAAGCGCTGACTACTTCATATCATTACGTGAGAAGCACATTGCTAGCCACGCGTCACTTAGACCAACTAGGTGGCAAAGTCCCATGTGATCATAACAAGGAGGCGGCTCTTCAAGTGACAAGGCACAATACCAAGGGTATATAAACCAAGGCATGTGTCGTATAACATGGAGACCAAACAAGACTTACATGATCATAACCGTCGCCCACTAAACACTCAGCTTTTGAAACGATTCGCAAATGCTAGGTGGAGTAATGGCCCTTATGCTTCTTGAACAAACCGACACCCAGGCTTCGTTCTTCAAAGCTAGTAGGCGGCAATCGGCTCCAACTCAGCCACAAATCAGTCGGCCTACTAGCTCTAAAATAGCCAGAACTCTTTAATGAGGGCCATAGACGCTAGCATACAATCGACTCTCAAAACGTTGTGAGCATTACACCCTTGAAGCCGAAAATGGATACTTAAGGCACCTCTCTTAGTTCTCAAACTAATCAAAGTATCATCCAACATCACCTTTGCCAAACCTTTCTTGACATAGCACAAGCAATCAGCATCAAGATGGTATTTTTAACCAGCCGGCCAATATATGTTGTTGCTATGGTTGAATATGCGCATGCTACTACTGCTCTTCATACTTGTACTGGTAGTGGAAAGCTTGCCTAAACATGCAAATTTGGTGAACACGATGCCAGCTACTAACACGAATGGTTTCGATGCAAGTGTGGTATGAGCAGGCGGCAAGTGGGAGAACAACAGGTGCTCATATAAAGAAACAAGGACACCCCATGAGCAGTCGGTTGGTGCAACGCATTCGGCCATGCTAACGATGAAATGCAAACAAGCGGCATCATGACTCAATGAGCAGCCAGCACTATACAAGCCCCAAGCAGTCGGCCTTGTGTACTAAGCGCAGGAAAAAGGGGGCTAGTGATGTGTGGGAGTCGTATGTGTTTAATCATCATATGCTAATAAACAAAGCTCACCCCAAAACAGTCGGCTTATCATTATGTTACCCAATGCCGATCAAGTAAAGTTTGTTCTTGTTTGAAAAATAGCATGAGTATATTGCAATATCGAGGCACAAATGGCATTATCATGCGAGACAAAGGCAGCGTAAGCAAAACGTGTGTGTGTTGATATGCATGGCTGAACGCAAGGTGTAATAGGCGGCCACAAGTGCTCTTCAAGACGGCAGCCGGCCACATCCCAGTCACAAAAACAGCCAGCCATGTGCGGCACTTAACGCAGCAAGCCACCATCAAAACAGCAGGCACTCGGTTGAAAGAACATAAGCTAATGTGGGTCTTCATGCTTTTTTAATGGGGGCCGAGTATTCTGATCATTTTGGTCTAAATAATGCCCAGCACGATCAGAAAAACATTAATACAAGCGGCAATTATGTGCCAAGCTAACTCTGAAATACATGGCCAAATGCCGAGTTCGAGGCGAAAAGGTTTCAACTCCATGAAAACTGAGCAATCTTCGAATTTTGTTAGACAATGCATAATAAGCAAGTCAACTGGTACTATGTTGATAGCTCAGACGACCATCTCTATGCATTTGGAGATACATTCGGCTACAAGCCATCACCATGCATTTGACTAAAAGGCTAAAATCGACTGGTATTGTTGATGGCTTCCTCTTGTATGTATTCGAAGCAACACACTTCTCGCTGTTTGCGTTTCGCATTTGGATGGACAAATGCTTTGATGAAGGAGCAGGCGGCATCCAGATGCAGAGAGCTCGATTTGAGAGTATGCAGCTCCCAGTATACAAGCGGCCATCTATATAGGCGCTAAGCATTTGGCTCTTCGCTATTAACCCTTGCAAACAAGAGCTTAATGGCTCCTACTTCAGAACGCATACAAGCATCCAAAATCAACACTCGGTTGGTTCAATACAATCGGCTCTATAATCATTCAACGACAGCCGAGAGAATTATTGCTTATCTCATACTATTAGCTAGCCTACAAGAAGGATACCAGCCATTAAAACCATTCGCAAAGAACGAAGCGGCATTCGCAACCATTGATTATTAAAAGCATAGCTAAGCTCAAGTTCTTGTAACCATGAAAGCAGTCGGCCTGCTCCTCATGTAAGTTCAGGCTATGAGATTCTTGAATTTCGAAGGGTCCTGGTCGAGTAAATTCAGGCTATGTAAGTTCAGGCTACGAGTTTTGTGCTTGGACTGAGCAGGGGCTTGAGTAGGCGGCCCCAGCCCAGTCCCAGCTTGACGCACCAGCTTGCTTAAAACAGCCGGCTACCTGATCATTCGGCCATTTAACGTCGAACTTGGAATTGCTTGTTAAGTCCAAAAGGGATACATCCAACATCCTCATGTATTACAAGCCGATTATGGGAGTGTGTATCAACAAGATGCCCAGCTAGCAACATCACAGCCAGCATGCTCCACATGTAAGCTAAAGATAAGTGCTTCTTGAAATTTCGAAGTATCATGGGCAAACAGCAGTGAATCAAGCGACAACATGCTGGCTCCAAGCATCTAGGCTTGATTGTTTGTAAAAGAAACAGCCGCATGGTTACAGCCAACGGTGTCAACTCGCTTAAAACAGCCGGTCACCTAGCAAATCAGCCTGACCATATTGTGTGAAGCTTTGCGCTTTAATCATATGTTGCTGCCCATAATCCAGTTAAACGCATGTGTCATGCTTACCAAACCTCTTAAACAGTCGGCCAACATAACAGGAGGACTTAAGTGGTCGGATGCTCCACATGTTAAGCATTGTTAAAGTCGAGTAATATATGGCTTTGCAAATTGTATATATGTCGACATAATTCAGGATAAATTTGCAAGCCATGGAGGGTCGGATCATAGCTACTTGGCTTGGTTATTGTTG